ATTGATGGGATACAACTATGCAGCAATACCAACCCCTACACCATAAGACTGTTATAAAATATACATGCTAACTGGCATATATACTGTTCTGTGACCTATCCAAATATGACCAAAGACCACCTCAAAAAAATGCTAAGTCCACTTCACATTAAGGAAAGGAGACAGTACAGTCAATGCCAACCCTTATTCCTTTCAAAATATGTTTATTGGTATGTCTGTACCACCACTATGATGCCAGGGGGGTATATACTTGGAAATTCATGGTATATATTACAGCACAAAGCACTATATAGAAAGATTACCACCTTAAATATTATAAGGTACTATGGCCTAGTGGTAGAGGCTCTACAGTGTTGCCACAATGCCATCAATGACTGATGCTGTGAAGGCCTGTGTTCAAATCACGGTGGTGTTAGACTATTTTACTCCTACTTGATTGATTAGTCATACTGAAAATCCCTGTAAATTTTCATTCATTGGATTAATCTAACTATCCAGATTGGAATCCAGATTAATCTAGCAGATTTGATGACTATAGTCATTGAAGGATTAATCTGGCTAGCCGTAACCAATGGGTTGTGGATGTGGAGCATGGCACTGAGTTGGTTGCAAGCCTCCTGGAAGCCAATTTTGGACAGTCCTAGTAGATTGCTTAACCACATTACACCACTAGTATATCCAGAACCAGAGTAGGACCAACCACTACACAATAGCCTACACAAAAGGAGAATAGCAGGAAGCTTTTCAGAGGGGATATGCCACATGATGAGCATATAAATGGTATTGAGTCCTGCAAGGGGTGAGCTGTCAGATGGGTTCGAAGTAGCAGTACAGACTGCACATAGCACTTCTTCAAGGGACCTAGCCTGATCCACATCCCTAAGCACTGTTGCTGCATAGACAAATAATCCCTTCAATGCCTTCACCAGCATTTGTATATCATTTTCAGAGGGCCATTGGGATGTCATGGGGATATTACAATGTTGAAGGATGTTCTTGAAGCCACTGCAGAGGTAGAGCTTGATGTCAGGATTGGTGTCATTGGAGACTGGTAATAGGACCTTGCAAGTGACTTAGTCAGTATTGTCAGAGGTGAAAGAGGCTTCAATGTGGGGCTCTGGATGGCTGAAGAATGCCCAGCAAAATGGAGTGACACCATCATGAGCTGTGGCAGTGACAATATCAATAATTGTGGACTAATCATTGGCCTTCTTGCACTCGTTGAGCCCATCAATGATTATGACCATCTTCTGCCCAATGCCCTTCCCAGTCTTCTCCAGTTCCTGGAATGGCTCAATGACAAGTGCTTTGAATTGTATTTCCATTGTTTCCTGGAGAATTGTCCTGTCATGATGGATCCTCTAATTGACAAGATCTCAGTAGTTGGGAAATTCTGCGGAGAGCTGGTAGGCAATGGTGGGGAAGAATTGTTCTGCATTGTCCTGTATATTAACTGTGAAGAAGAATGCAGCACCAAGTCTTCCCAGTTTCTTGATCTCTTCAGTGCATGTCTGGGCTATGGCAGATTTGCCAACACTGGCTAGGCCCTTCATCCAGAAGAGAGGTAGGGGTTCATCAGCACCAACAGCAGGGACACCCCAGCCAACAATGTCCTTGATGTATTGTTTGCAAGTACCAGGTTGACATTGAGGGGTGTAATTGTGGGCAGCAGAGTTGTGGGTGGTGTCAGGGTTGGACACTTCTAGTAGGATATCAATACCTAGTTGCCAATGCAGACATAAGCTTTATGCAAGCTACCTTGTGACATATTCCCTTACCAATTTGTATGTTTGCAAGAGAAATATTTGTAGTGACATTGCCATTGATCAACTGGTCCACAAAATCGCTATTGTTGATAGTAGTATGCTGAGAGTCAGCGAACAAGGGCATAGTGTTTGAGTTGACTGCAGAAGTGTGATGACCTGGAAGGCTGAGATGGGGGTGGGGAAGGGGGGAAGGGGAGAGGAACAATGACTTGATGGGCAACAAAGTGCAACAGCATCCTGGGACATTTGCTGTTAATCTGTGAGAACAGCCTTATTTTTAGTGACAATTGATGCCTACATCATGGGCACAGACTGTTTTGGGTTGATGCCAGAGTTAATGGGTGTTGGAGGGAAACACATACTGGATCAATACTCAGGTATTGCCAAAGGCTCTCCCATGGTGCTAATTCATTGCCATATCTGCTCTTCAAGAGTGACACTCACATCAAGTCACGGCCCTCTCCCTTTGACAGCCATTGACTTCCAGGCATTGCTGGTCTTGTACACCACATAGATGAGCTTGTGCCCCCCTTCCTGTTGCTTATCTTCCCTAAACATGTCACAAGTTGCCCAGAGGTTGCCCACAGCAAGAGACAAGACCACTCTACAGCCATCATGTGACACTCTCCCTGCCCCAAATTGTTGGACACCCTTGCTCAATTGGAATCTTGGCCAACAACAAGCTAATAATCTCTGCTGGGACTCCTATACTGAACAGTGAGTCTCTTGCCCAAAGTTATAAAAACTCACTACTCTCAAAGGATGATAGGAAGGTATGCTCCCTGGTCAATCCCAACCTCCAACTCCTAGCTGGTACCCTCTAAGGTCTGCTGCACTCTGCTGACATGAGAGGGGTAACAGCCCTTGCCAACCCTGGCACCTTGCCCTGTGGTCCCATGGTCAGCACCTGGTGTCATCCTACACTCTATGACCCACTCCTTCCTCACACCAATTCCATGCATATTCCCATATTTCACACCTCCAACTATGCCTGCTATGTGCTATCCTGCATTCACGGGTCCCTGGCACAGCTTTCCCCCATCCTATTTGCACTCACAATCATGTGCCCAGATGGATGCCTATGACTTGCTACACTTCATTGATCCAAAGGGGCAGCAGTCTTCCTTACCTACCACACCCCAGTCTTAGCAAATGCCCTGATCATCTCTCAACAGGTGACATTACTTTGCACATACATGCTTGGGTGCCCTGATGACTCTTGTTCACTTTCCCCAGGTATAGCGCATCACCACTCTTGTCCACCATCACCACATGACTCATTACCTCCAACATTCATCACATGGCTATGATTTGCAATGTCCCAGACCATGCAAACAGCAGACGCTCCTGACATGCCTGGATATCATCACTGGTCACCACCTCACTCTCTCACCAAAGTTCTATTACACCATTGGCACCACTTCCCTACACAACACCCATGAGACCCAGCAAAACTCAAGAGGACGCTTGTATAGGGTCTATCAGAGTGTCTGCATTTCCCACCAACATTCCCTCCTTTCACCTCCTGCTCCACCATACACAACATATAGCACCCATTGCAACAGCACTCAATATATTGATGTTGAGTGTCCAAGTTGCATCTGTAGAAATTTCTTGTGCTCAAAATCTTCACTCACTAGATAGACCCCACCTTACATTCTGTCCTCACCTACCCATCCAGACTCAACTCTTGCGAACCCCAGCCTCCACCACCCCCTTATATCCCCACCCATCACTTTCCAAAGATAACTCCCAACAGGAAATTTGCTGTGCAGTGAACCAAAGGAGAACTAGTAAGTGACCCATCCTGCATTCTTCTTGTCAACATGGTTATCAGGGACCTCAATGTCTGGTCCACCACTCTCATCCTCTTCACACCATAGATGATTCCTAGATCTATGTTATCTTATGATATTTGCATTAAAATATATCACATCTTTGCTACCCACTTCAGGTGTGAGATGGATCCTCATAGGGGTTGCAGCCAATTGTATTTACATTAAACAGCTCAGTTCACAGGAGAATGTTACATGTCAAACTGTCAACAACTAGAACTCTGCAAACATGACTTATGTCATCTACTTCATCTATGTTTGACATCTCCCCAGCCCTCAATGTCAGTCCAGGTATCCTACACCTCATAAAACAGAACCCTCTAGGTTCAGGGCTGATATATTTACTAGTCAGCTAATGGTGGTCAGTCCTGAAGTGTGGCATGTAGCAATATTACACTAAGGGGTTGTTTGTCACTATCGCACTCCAAGTTGAATATGCCTGATACTCCATTGGTGGCCTCAGGAATACAGTCTGCCACTACAATGCCCAGCAAAGCCAAACTGAGTATGTGCTGAGATCCTCGTGCCTTATTCCAGGCAATCATGTGACTCTCCTGGATGGACACCTTTGACCTGCCACACTTTGCCACTTTGATGGGGTAGCAGTCTTCCCTAGCCACTGCATCCTAGTCTTAGTGAATGCCTTATCCATTGTTCAATAGGTGATGTACTTTTGGTCATGCAGCTTCAGGTGCCCCACTGATTCTCCTGCCCTTCCCCTGGATACAGCATGACAAAACTCCTGTCCACTGTCACTGCATGGCTTGATCACACCCTACATCCACTGCATGGCCATGATTTGCAATGTCTGCTCAAACAGCAGCCCTTAAAGTATTTTCCAACACCATCACCAACCACAACCCCTCACTTTCTCACCAAAATTCTCTTATACCAACAGTCCCACCCCCTGAGAGCCAGCAAAGACCCAACAGCCCACTTGTATACAGCCCACCAGAGCATTGTTGTTCTTGATTGCATCCCCTCCTTTCACTTATTGTTCCACCATACATGTTGTATAGTACCCCTTACAACAGCACTTAATACACTGATGTCAACTGTCCAAGTCGCATCTGTGTGCAATTTCTTATGCTCAAACCAACCTTCAAAGGTAGTTTGATCACTCAGCAGACCTTACCTCATACCCTTTCCTCACCTATCCATCCAGACTCATTGTTCATCCCAGCTTTTGCTGCTCCTTGACATTCCTATCCATGACTCCTCATAGACCATTCTTGACAGGCAGCTGACTGCAGTGAACTGAAGGAAAATAAGTGATCCATCTGCATTCTCCTTTGGCTTCGCAGCCTGCTTATCAGGGACCTCCTTGACATCTAGTCCACCACCATCATCCACTTTGTATCACTAATGATTCCTATACCTCTGTCACCCTGTGACATGCCTATGTTAATATATATATATTGCCCTTTCACTATTCACTCCACTGTCATGTAGGTGTGAGATAGGTCCTTGTGAGGATTGCTGCTGGTTGTGTCTATGTTGAACAGCTTGGCCCCTTCAATGTCAGTCCAGGAATCCTACAGTGAGGGGGGTACTTCAGGACTACTTGGCTGTAGTCTATCCTGAAATGTGGCATGCAACAACATCATACTAAGGGGCTGTCTGTTGCTATTGTACTCCAAGTTGTATATGGTGTACAGCCTGGTACCCCACCAGTACCCCACCATTGGCCTTGGGAATGTGGTCTGCCACTATGACACCCAGAAAGGCTGGACTAGGTATGGGACTATGATGGGCTGAGACATCAGCCAACTACCTGTACCTCACTTTGTTTCACTTAGGTGGTATGTTCACAA